AGCAGCCTTCCTTGGACAAACACCGTTTGATTCGGGAGAATGAGTGAAGGGAGTAGAGGCTTTAAACGCTTGACGAGGAGCTTGGAGATAAGTTTGTAGATAGTGTTGCAGCACGAGATCGGTCTATAGTTAGAGACCGTAGAAGCTCCTATCCTTTTAGGCAATAGTGTAAGAATGGTGGAGTTCACAGAATAAGGGAGGAAGCCGGTGCTGAAGAAGTTTTTTATGCTAGTTGTAACCTCCCATCCTAGTGCGTCCCAACTTGCTTTGAAGAATCCAGAAGTGAGTCCATCGGGTCCTGGGGCCTTGTTGGGATTTAGTTTGAACATTGTCTTTTTTATTTCTTCATCTCTCGGCATTCTGACCATTGCTTGTACATTTTCCTCAGGGCATCGGAAGCTTGAGATTTCTTGAAACCAGAGTGGCGAAGTTTCAGACGTAAGATGAGTTGGAGGAGCTAGTAACTGTCTGAAATGTGAAACCGCCATGGCTCCCATACGGAGTGGGTCAGTTATAACCACCCCAGAAGGCAGGATGAATGAGCGGATAGATTTGTAAGAGTTTCGAAATTGCATAAGTCGATGAAAGAAGATAGTATTGAGATCTTTTTCCTTTAGCCAGTTTATGCGTGCTCTTTGATGAAAATAACTTTCCTCTATGGCTCTTAGAAAGTTCCACTTTTCCTCTAGTTCTCTCTGCCGTTGGAAATTATCTGGTGTTGAATTTGATAGAGCATGTACCTGCACATCTTTTAACAACAAGTTAGTCTCTCTCACTCTTTCTTGAATATTGGAGAAGTTCTCTCTATTTAACTGTTTTAACTCTCTTTTTATTTTTTTCAGTTTGACACATAAGTGAGAAAGATCCCAACCATACCTCCGGACTGATTCCAGGCCTGCAGCACTGTCTGGAAGAAGAGAGGGTGTTTGATGAGGTATTTGAAAAAATTGAATGGTTTGGTTCCGGCTTTGGGTAGATCAACTGCTAAGTCAACAATAGAGGGGGAGTGGTCAGAGATTTCAGGGGCTAGGAAAGAAGCTTGGCTGTGTGGAAAGGTTGCGATCCAGGGCTGGTTTATGAGGATTCTGTCTAGTTTTTTTTGCTATTGGATAAGTGGGGAATTTGTTGGACCAGGCGAAGAGGGGTCCTGTAAAACGGAGGTCAAAAAGGCTGAGGTGGGATAAAGTATCACGAAACTAAGTCATATGAGAGTCAAAGGAGTTTACAGAGGGTAGAGAGTGCTCTGAGTAGTGGATGATCTGGTTGAAATCACCTCCGACAATCCAAGAGGAGGTGTCAAGAGAGTGGATATGTTGGATATTTATAAGATCAACCCATAAGGCTGAGCGCTCATCACTGGTGTTTGATGCATAACAGGCTGTTAGCACAAATCGCTGCAGAGGAGCTATATTGATCTCACACGTGATTGACTGCCTCGATTGATGAAGAATGTTAACCGTGAGGTGAGGCTTCCAGATTAGTATGATTCTTCCATCATGATCAGAAGCGTGATTGGAGAAATAGTTCCATCCTCTGCAAGTTTTCGATAAAACATGATTGAGTTGCGGTTCTGTAACATGTGTTTCCAAAAGAGTACCAAAGTGGGCCGTACCAGAGGCTAACCACTGACAAAAAGGGTCGTGCTTATCCGGGTCATTTAAGCCACGGATGTTCCAAAAAAATATCTTATTACTCATAGAGAAAGAGCAGGGTCAGGATTGGGGTCAGGATTGAGCCTTCAAAAGGAGTTTTAACAGAGGAGTCCAAATTGGGGTCAATCGGTGGGGAAAGGGGAGGTTTGGAAGTGGAAGTGGGGGTGTTTAAAGCCCATGGGGGATCATGGTTGTCAGGATCAAGTGAAGAGAAATTATTTTTTAAGGTGATGGAGAGGTGGGAAGTGGTAGCGGTGGTCTTTTTTGTGACTTTGTGTTTTAAGGGAATGGTCCTTCTAGTTTGGATAGGGTTAGCTGCAAGGGCGACAACAAAATGGGGTTCCCTTAATGATGAGAAGGTGATGGGTGGAGGGGAGTCTGGTGAGATAGCAGGAGAGGGAGAGGCTGAATGGAGAGGGGAAGAGAGGGGGTTAATGCTATGAGGGTAGGGTGAGAGGTTAGCCATCCGCAACTCAGGAGGAGTAACGATAGGTGATTGTAAAATCTCTTGGATATCTGCCTCAAAATCAGCATTTTCGGTTTCCAAGACTGGTTCTGGTGGAGATACATCAGTCATCTGCGTATCATACTTTCGTTGAACTGCATGAGGTTGTTTCAGGAGCCACATTTTTAGGTACCGGAAACGTTGATCACTTTGTTTCTCGATCCAGACATGGTTTGCAGATAGACAGACTTTTAGTATGTGACCTATTTGTTTGCAGAAGAAGCAGACAAGCGGGGTCCAAGGGTAATCAACATGAATAGGGATGATCTCATCAGAAGTTTTTCTAAGCTCGATCAAAGTGGGGAGTGGGTTAGTCAGGTCTGCTTCAATCTATGAGCAATATGTGGGTCTGTGATGTTCTTTGTAAACTTATCAATTTCTTTTGGCTCTCCAATCAGATCAGTAGCAAAGCTGAGACCCTCGAGAGTTCTCAGGTTAAGTGGTAGACCTTTTAGATGGACCCAGAGGGGGATGGATCCCATATCAACAACGGAGACTGAGCCTTTAGATGACCAAAGAGTTAACTGAAACAGGCAGTCCCAATATACCATATTCTTTTTTCAAGAACTTTTTTTCTGATATATTCATTTGGGATCCTAACCATGATTGTTCTATCTTCTTTATTAGTGCGATTGTCAATCTTCTGACCTTTCCCCACATGAAGTTTAGGACGCTCTGAATTGCTTGATAGGAAAGCATCTTAGCAAGGAAAGATCCGAGCACAAATTTCTTATGCATCTCAGCTCCGCGTTGGAACACTTCATCTGGAATGGTAACTTGGGGAACACCTTTATCAGAGTAAGAGATAGGTGCTAGTATTTTCAAATATTTGTCTGCTATTGACCTAGCTTTTTGAGCATAGGAAACGGCTGGGGTTGTGGGGTTTTTTGGTTCGGTGGGGGTAGGGAATGGTATGGTACGGTAGAAGTTGGTTGGGCAGTGGAAGAGGGAGGTTCATGAGTGGTGTTAGCAGGTTTCGGAGCGGAAGTGGTTTTTGGGTCAGTGGAGGGTGGGGTTGGGTTTAGTGGAGGGAGTTTAATAGTAGATTTATGGCTGGGAAAAGAGTCAGGTTTTCCAGATTTGGTAGAGTTTGAGTAGAAATCAGGGTGCTCTTTTACGATAACACAGTGAAACCCTCAAATCTGTTGTGAACAGTGTCTTTAGGGGTAGTTTGAATCTTTTCAGATCTAGTTTGATTCAGGAGTTCTTTCCCATTGTCCTTTGCAGGACCAGAGGAACAAGATAGTGAGGGAAAATTGCATTACAAAATTCTAAAGAAGCAGTCCCTTTGAGAAAAGAAATTTGCTTTTTAGAAAGAAGTGGAGAGGCAATAACGGTTTGCAAGGTGGGAAAATGAGAGTCGAAGGGGAGAGGACGAGGAGGAATTGGGTCGGTAGGGTTGGGTGGATCTGGTAGAGGGGCAGAGCTACCAGCAGTAGTAGAAGGAATCAGGACGGAGGCGGGCGTAGGGAGAACTAGGGGTTCACTTTCTCACTCATTTATTGTTTTTTTGTAGTTTCCGAATGTTTAGTCTTTAATTTTGTAGAGTTAAATCAATTATTATTTTTATTTTTTTGACATCAAACGGCTGCTCTATTACTCAAAGAACTTGAGGTGGCCTGGGAATCCAAACCGGAATAGAATAACCTACGAACATAATCTTACGATAAAAAGACCTAGCTGTCTTAGCTAGAGAATCAGAAACGCCGTTCTGTACTCTAGGAACATAAAAAATCTTGAAGTCAGGAAAGCAGGTCTTCAGCATCTCCAGTTTTTCCAGTTCTGTTGAAAAGGTAGGCCATGCATGAGGATTCCTGAGCATCTCGATCATCTCCTTACAATCAGTTTTGAAACTCTGACATGGCCAATATTGAAGCATATTCTCCATTGCCCACCGCAGTGCTTCCAGAGTTAAATCAATTATTTAAATGGACAGTTATATTGTATAAAATAGGATATAAGAAGATAAAGACATATTATATCATTGCTTCGGTTGAATACTAATAATGTAATTTAAACATGAATTAAATATTTTAAACATTTTTTCAAGCTCTTTTAGTACACCGATTTGACTAATAATAATTCATTAATAATTTTATACTAGGAGATATGAAGTTGCAAATCTCAAAAGAAATACAAATTATGCAGATTAAGATAATAGGATTTCATGAGATTTTTATCGTGGTGCATGACATACCCTTAAACATGAATTTCATATGAAAACTTAAAAGATGCAATTATGCTTGATTTCTCACAATATAGATATAAGTGTCAGCTATGGAATCATTTCTATAACTTTTCTCGTTTTTATAATAAGCATAATTAACCAAATGTTAGAAAAATGTTTCAAACACTTCAGATACAATTGACTAAGTCTAAAAAATTAAATAGCAATTATCCGCACGAATGCAGAAAAGGTCACTTAGGAATTAACTTATAGAATTTTTCAAATAATATATGTATGTACTATTTGAATGTATCAGTTGTATTTTAAAAATACTATTTTAGAAATATTATTTCTATAACTAATTTCATTATTATTTTAATCAATTGTTCAATAATTGGATGGCTAACATATCATTTAATAATAAATAAATACGTAAATACTAATAAGTTTCAAAATCATAAAATATACTTTATTGTTAAGGAAAATAAAAATTGAAAGTTATTTACTGTAAATAAACTTCAAATAATAACTTGACGATCTGTGTGATTCCTTGGACAAAGTGATTATTATTTTTAATTGAAACATTACATTAAAAAAGATTAAAGAAAGTTTATTTGATTTGAAATGAAACATTAGTTCATCACATAAAATGTCGGAAAAGAAAAGACGATACATTCTACCGGACGAAAGAAACGTTTAAGCGACGAAAAGAGGCGGGCCTCGCCGCCTCCAATGACAAAACCAGTGGGCCACCGAACGACCTTACACCAATTTCAGCACCTTTGAAAGCAAACCTGTAAGATCCTCCACGTTTCTCGATGGTGAAGATGGTATTATTGACATCCGGGCCTCCCCCCTTGAGTACTAGGCCATCGACGACTCTCCAATATCCCGAGTCCCAACAGCGTTTGTTGCTCGGTCGGAAATATATCTGAAACTCTGTTGATACACGTAGCACATCTGGTAATGATAGTAGTGATACAAAACTGAATATAGCATAGTCAGGTATGTTGCGATCAACCATCACATCTTTTGGGCATGGGAAAAATGGAAGTGCATAACGGGAAACCCATCCCTCGTCTACGACATCTATATGTATCCCATAGTCCACCCGGATGAGATACGGAGTATCGGTCTCTACTGGCCTCCCAAGAGAATCAAGTACTGCTTCTTTCTCACCAGATGCTGCTGTTATCGCAACGAGCAATAGAGATATAATCATTCCGAGTATTTTGATTGTACCACCTGTTTTCATCTTCTTCTTCTTTCTTTGTTTCTTCTTGCTTTTTGATCTTTTTTCTTTTGTTAACTTCTTTAATGATGCTAATGCTAGCTAGGGGTATATATAGGCCTGGCCAAAAAATTCGGAACCTGAAATCCGGATGGAACTCAAACCAAAAACCCGATCCATTATCCGATCCGAAATGTAAAAATATCCGAACGGGTCTTGTAGGATGGTACAAAAAATATCCGAACCCGAAGTGTTATTAATCGAACCCGAACGTATAACCAGAAATATCCGAAATTAATAATCAATATAAATATTTTAAATTATATATAAGTATTTCAAATATTGAGTTCAATGTTTATTTTGATATGATACATACATTAAATATTAAAATACAAATCAATATCTTAAATATCTAACTAGTTATAAATAATTACTTTATAAATGCATATTATTTACAAAAGATGTTTGTTTTCATGATTGATTTAACATTTTATTTTATTTTATTTTATCAGTTTTATGTTTGTAGGATTAATTTTTATTCAATTTAATTGTTTTTTTTTTCAGTTCAGATATATCTGAACTAAACCTATATAACCCAAATCCGAATGATATATGGTTATTTTATGGGTTTTATAATGCAATAACAGTTTGAACCGAATCCGAAGTATTATTATCCAAACCCGATCTGTACTAATAAAATATTAAAATGAGACCTCTGAGTGTAAATCCGAAAACTCGAAAATCCAAAATACCCGATCCGAATCCGAATGCCCAGGCTTGGGTATATATATGATAAAATTAGGGGGTTCAATACCCATTTTCATGTTTCACGTGCATACACTGATTTTATTCCTTACAATCTGGATATGGATTACGAATTGATCATCTCTGTTTGTCAACGCTGCCTAGCTACAAATTGAGAAATAAATAATTAACCACGCTTCAGGCGGCTTATGTCTAGCTGCTACTCTTTGTCTTATAATCCCCTCTTATTTATTTCCTCTTACCAGCTGGAGATTTGGAAAATCTATACTTCATGCCGTTGATTGCTCCAACTTTTCATAGGAATGCAAGTGTTCTACCCCCCCCCCCCAAAAAAAGCATTTTTAATCAATTCATTAATTATATAAAGGGAAAATTCCATATAAATAGCTCAACTAAATTTTATTAAGCTTTTTAATACCCAAATTTTTTCACATGTTCAAAAATGGGGGCTAAGCGTCTGGCTAATCACCAAAAACACGTAAACGGACTAAATCTGTGGCGGATTGATGATAATCGGCCAATAAATCGGAGGAAAATAAAACTCGATGTAAAAATACTTGCAATCAAGTTACACGATCACTGGAGCATACTGGAACAAAATGTGAATCCGATTTACAAATATCTGCAATCAAGGACATTCAAAATATAATTCCTATTTTTAGTATACACTTAATAAAAATGTAAATCATATACGAATATTCGTATTAATAATCTTTAATCAATAATTCTTTTGTACTATTCTCTACACGATTCACCATTATTTTTGAATTCTTTTTTGGATAAAATTTCATATAGATACGATTTAACTGCACATACTAGGAATATCCAAGCATATGTGCGAGATTAAAAACTTTATAATATATATTATATATTATTTTTTTCGATTTTGAAAAACAAAATATATATGAATTTTAAATTTTTGAAAATAATTTAAACGGGTTATCTAAATCTGAACTAAACCTAGATCGAAATTTATAAATACATGAATATGGTTGAAACCTTCAAACTCCAAAACTCAAAATTTGAATAAATTCAAACTGAACCAAAAATGGATATCAAAATCCGAATGAGTACCAACAACATATAAATACATTTAAAAAAGATAATCAACTATATTTCATTTATAACAATGAAAAAAATATCCACAACGATCACAATCTAGTTAAGAAATTATTTAACTAAACACGTTTCCGGTGAGTTTATAGTGGCTTTAATGCCAGTCTGTCTTTTTCTAGTCTACTTGAAATGTGGAATGTTCTTCTGAAGATTACGATTAGATATTTGGTCAACACCACTGATAGGATGATGTGGAGCCCGCGTTGATACTCGTAAGAGGAGGGCTATCCACACTGATCACAACCTGTCAGATTTATTCCAAAAAAGCTTCCTTAATTACTTGCTTATACGAGCTCTTAACATGAACTTATAGGATGATTCATGAATCCCACTCTCTGTCAACAGCTTTTTTTTTTGGGTTTGCTGACTTTTGGTCGAACTGATTAGTCCGTTTCAGTTTATTTAGTAAAGTGATCTGAATTTCATTTATAAAGAACAAATTTAACCAATTTAGTTAAAATGGTTTATTTTTCACATTTTTTTCTCTCAAATCTCAAACAATTTGGTAAAAGTATCATTTACCAAAACGATTAAGTTAATACAGATCATTTTCAAAAAAAAAAAGTTTGTTTCTAAAATCTGAACTTTTAAAAATATTTTGATAAAACCTAAAATTATAATAGGGTTCAATATCCATTTTTCTTTATTTTTTCTACTCGTAATTTTGAACACTCTTTTTGTTATTCTTATTTTATTATGTTCAAGTAATTATATTCCTCTATCCATAGACCACATTAGATGTACAGAAATTGTTGGTTTATCATTTGATAGGGCACAAATTTTAATTAAAATAAATAAAGCCTCTGCTCTCAGTCCAGACAACCCACACATCCGCTCCTGTTTGATGGGATCCGATGACCAGCGTTTCAGACCCAGCTCTGCCAAAGCGTATTGATTCCAGCACGGTAATGTTGGTGTCCAAAGCTTTGACTTAACCAAAGTCTATGCTTTATCATTAAATCCCGTTAAGTTTACTTCTCTTGTCTAGTATGATGTCTTCAGTGGTATGTTAATGGTGGTTGTCCATCGTCTAGCTTCAGTCTACAGGGTTCACATAGCCCAAATGCGTGATGTTGTGCTTGAATTTGTTCCACTGTTTTGTCAACTATCACATGCCATCCGAGTCTACACAGTCATTGATCCATATCTCAGAAGTACTAGACAAAGGAGGCCTTTCCCAACCGCTCGTAACTATGGTTCTAAAGTCGCTCAGCTTCTCTTACCGGCCAACAGCTTTCGACAAAGCTCCAGCAAGAACCCGAAACGATCTCATCCTCCAATGGTGTCATCAGTTACATACTTATTAGTTGAAGTAAAGGAGGGTCTCTCAGGCCACAATCTAGAAGCTCCGATCCATGGATCCTTGGGTCAGAGTTACATCGGATCTCCCTAGTCATCGGAACTTCACATGGCGCTAACCCTAGAGTTTTCGAAACTCAAAGTTTTCTCCAACAATTCAACGCTCTTCAGAGCTATTTCTGGCGATCTCCGGTCTAAAAAAATCATCGGAATTGTGAAAGACATATGATCGATCTCTTCTGGATTTGCATCAATCTCATTCTCCATATTTGTAATCGTTTTAATCGGTGGTTTAGCAAAAAAGACTCTTCAAGATTTCTTATCTTTGTAATGAACTTCAAAAAAGACTCTTCAAGATTTCACAGGTCCATTCTTCTTTTTTTTTATATATTAGATTATTATCTTTGAAAATATATTTTACATTGTAAAATTTAAGTGAATTTGCTGATTTGTAATTTCTCCGTAATTTAGTTAAAATTGCTTATCTATCATGTTTTCAATAATTTCAAATATAATTTATTATAATATAAAATGAATTTCTATTATAATATTATATTTTTAAAAAAGTAAAGTACTACTTATATATTATATTGGTATCTTAAAAATATATTTTTTATTATAGAAACATAAATTATAATTATATATAAATATAAATCAAATAAAACATTTGTATAAATATTTTTTTAAAAATATTTCGCTAATGTGAATGCTATCACTTATAATTAGTTTTAATGCATAAATCATAATTTATATGTTGTTTTAAACTTAAAAAAATATAAACTAATAAATATTCGTTAAAATGATATGTCGTGTAAACAAAATACTTAATTTGTTGAAAATCTCTAATGTACATTTTTATATTTTCCTCTAAAATATAAATCTTTTATATGAATATAAATTTACTCCAATGTATACCCATATAATATAATTTTTCTATTTAAAGATGAAAATAGAAATTTTCTATATATCCTATAAATAAAAATTTATATTATAGAAACAAACATTAGAGTAAATCAAAACTCTATATGAGTCCGGACCAGCACCGGTTAAAAACTGGAGTCCAGAAAATAATCTGAGAGGAAAAACTTCGAGTCACTTTACCTTCGACACAGGTAGCCATTAATATTTGAGCAACGGGTTTCAACAAAGAAACATAAACTAAACAATGGCAACCACAAGGACTCGAAGTGCAACAAAAGCTTGATCACAAGCACTAATAGAAAAGACAGTTCATTTTTTTTTCTTTTTTTCTGTAAGTGTTAATTTGACTACTTTGCACATCACAAAGCAACTTAGTGTAAACTGTAAAGGGATTGTGAGCAGAGCAGAATCACCTGTAGCCAAAGCCAAGGTCGAGTTCCTGACCGATAGAGCCCTGACGATTAGGACCACCGGCTTGACCCATTGTCGGAGGCTGCTTGGATGGGTCCATCCTCTGGTGAATCCCTAAGAGTGTCTGCAGTGAAGCTGGATGTTCACCTCTGTTGCCTTGAGAACCTGTCACAAAACGAAATAAAATGTTTTGAGAGACCAAATAAAGATCTACTAGTCACTGCATATTTCGATATTAAGCAACAGACACAAGATACTGAATCCAGGCAAAAAGAAATAAAACAAGCGAACGTCGAATCTTTAGAGGGTAGAGTAGCAAATGAATTTGGTTATCTATTGTTATACCTGGTGGTGGCATACCGTAGTTGGGCTGGCCATGGGCGAAGGGGAAGCCTTGTGATGGATTTAGCTCAGGGATGAGTCCGTGCATTTGGTTGTTTACATTAGGAGAGTGATGGTGTGATGGACCACCACCGGGGAATCCTTGCATTAGATGATGGCGTTGTAGGTTGTCTTGCATATGCATCTTCTGCTGCATATGTGGAGGAAATCGATCGAACTCTGGAAGTCCACTACTTGAATGATGGAAAGGTGGACGATGAATCATGTTTGGTGGAAACCGGTGATTTGGTGGAGGATCCTGGATGCTTCCTTGTCCCATGAAATCGAGCTGATGTTGTTTTATATGAGCATGTCGAGTATCCAAATGATGGAAACCCGAGCCTGAACCATTCAAGTGAGGAGAAGGATTGGTTGCGTAGAGTTGGGGATGATGGTGAAGAAAAGAACCATCTGGACCTCCCATTGTTGGTCTTTCGTTCCTTGGACCAGAGTTTAAAGCAGCTAGCTTGTCAGAGATGTTGAAAGTTACTTCAGGCTCCTGATTATGAGGTCCTGGAAGAGACATGTATTTTTGTGGGTTTGCAAGTTCTCCTACTGCAAGTAAGCTACCATCTTCTGGAAGGCCCAGTAGCCCTCCGGGAAGACCGTCAGGTCTGATTTGATTTCTTTGGATCCCAGGAGCATCTGAAACCACTGTTCTTCCAGAGCCAGGTTCTCCAATTGACTGCAGTTCGCTCATGAAGGCACTCCCAAATAGATTTTCAAGGGTCAAAGACTTCCCCGGGTCTGCTTCTCCAGCTGTAGGTGGTTTCACAGACGGTGGTGGTCTACTCTCTCTGACTTGACTTTTCGGGTCTGCACTTCTCTGTAATAATGAAAGAAGGTGGTGCGAAGCTTGGTTATCAACAGATGGTTTCCCTTGGTTGGCCTTCTTCACTGAAGAAACACTCAGGTCTTGGTCAACTGAAGGTGGAGGAGGATGGTAGGTTTCACTGACTTCTGATAGAATAGACTGCTCAAGGTCTTCACAGGTGAGAACAGGTGGAGCAGCTGTAACTGGTTTAGTTGCGGAAGTGTTGCTTAACTTATCAGTGTTCTTAGTGGCATGGCCTTGATAAGGAAAATCCATCGGATGTTCACCCTTAGCATCTGTCTCAAAGGTTTGCAATTTATCTGCACCTTGAAGTAGTGACAGTAAGCCTTTTGGTGGCCTGCTGGATGGTAGATCCTCGACTGGCTTGTTATCTGCACCGGTAAAAAAAGAGAATTTGGTTGGTCTTGTAAGGAAAAAAGTTACTATTCTCGCATAACAGCCAGTGGAGATTACCTTCTTCAAGAAACAGATGTGCAAACTTTGAAGATTTAACAGTCTGAGGGCTACGTGTCTCTTCTACCTTTTCGACAATTTTCTACAAGTATGTGGACGTTCGTCAGGCCAAATGAGACTGTTCAAGTTCCACGAGGCAAATATGTATATGCAAGTACATGAACATGTTACAAACATGCACGTTATTTCCTCAGGAAGAAGCATATTAGATACTACATCATGTGACCCACTATAATAAATACATCATACAGGAAGAAGCCTTAGTTACGACTAGGTAATCGAGACTATCATCATGTGACCCAAAATGACGTGCATATCAATTACTGAACCATAAGGGTCGGATAAATGAAAGAGATCATCGGAGAAACATTTTAGTTTCAGAGAAAATGAGTTCATTGAAGTAGATATGAAAAAAGACTCACCTGAGTAATATTAGAGGAGTCGCCACTATTCAAATTTATAGCGGTGTTGAATATCTTGTCCAGAATTGACGGCTCATCCAGAATCTCCAAGCTTTTCTTCTGCTCCAACTTCACTGTAGCTGAGATGGAGGAAAGTTTTCAAAACTCTTGTCAATATTTAACTTTATCTGTAGATATTCGTAGAAATGAAGACATATTAACAGCTTCACCTTCTACCAGCATCTCACTTGAGCCTATCTTCATCACCGACGGGTTTTCTTCATTAGTAACAGATGTTCCATTCACCATATTAATGCCTTCGGGAATCAAAGGACTACGTCCATGTTGGGAAGTTTCAGTCTGCAAGTAAGTAACATGTGTGACCAAAGTTAGTGGATGGAGTTATAAATTGTTTGGCAATTTAGAATACCAATCAGAGAATACATCTACAAAAAATTTACAAAGAAAAGAAAGATAAACCAACACGAAAAGGGTCACCACACTCAAACTTCAACTCTCACTGATGATCTCCGTCGAATGTGATAGATTAAGCGACCACAGCCTTCGATCAAACATAACCAAGGAAGTAGTAACTGAAGGAATTAGCTTTCATAGCATGGGAATTTGATGATATTTTATGCAATAGGTCTTTATTTCTACACCCCTAGTTTGCTTGTACGTTACATAAGAGCGGGGCAGTACGACTACCTGTACTCATGTTCTTGTTTGGAGTTCAAGCAATAGCATAATAAAGTATATTTAACTCCATTCATGGAGCAAAAACGTTTTAAATCAATATGCAAGAAATGAAAAATTTCATGGAACATACATATTTTTCAGTATGGATGAGCATCCCAGAAAGATAACGACTTACTTGAGGCTTTTCCCCTTGCTTTCTTTCCAAAATTGTGCTTGCAAAACCAGGAGGAACAAGCGGTCTGGGTGCATTACTTTGAGAAGGAATCGAGTGGTTACTAGCCCCAGGGATTGATGGATTGCTGTTGACTTCATCGCTTCTACTTGGACGCTCTTTCTCATCTTTGGACTCCCCAGGCAGTTCAGTAAAATCAAAGTCGTTTTTGCGTAAGTCTGGGTTTGATTTTTGCCTCTCCTGGAATACTTTTTGATGTTCCTTCCTCAACAACTCAAAAGAAGCTGACAGAGAGTTAAGAACGTCAGTTAAAGATTGACATAAAAAACGCATGTGTAGCCTGTAAGAAGTTGGTGAAGAGCAAACTATTGGACAGAGTTCAGTGAATAGATTCCATGTATGTACCTCTTCTTTTTCTTTCTTCTTCTGCTCTATCTTCACTTGTAGATTCAGAAGAGCCAAACGTCTCATCATCTAATGAGTCTCTATTGTCACGTCGAGTGTAAGGTGCCGCCTACATATGCACAGGACAGGTTTAGGAATCAGTGTCCTTAACTAAGTGATCTCACCAGCTGATGACACCCAGCAACATGGTGGAGCAGCATTCAACAATCACTAAAACTAAAAACAATTCAAATTGGGTACAAAAAAAGAAAAGTGGGCAAGTTAACCTTGTATGGGCGAGGAGGATGATAAGGTTCATTGCTTCTACGCAGCTGATAGGAGTCATCAGACTGAGGCTTGGTCCCAGCACTAAATCCAGAAGGCTTAGGGAAAGAACCTTTCCCCAGAAGTCCATCATGCTCCGGTGCTTGCCAAGGCCTCCGGGATGGCATGCCAGAACGCCTTCCAGGCTCTCCTAACAAAATATACAGTTCAATAACAATAATAATACCCAAATTCCAGAATTTCTCTATATGGTCTTCTTCCTAAGTTCACTAGAAAAAGAAAGTCTTTCGCAAAAAAAAAAAAAAGAAGAAGGTGAAAATCTACATAAACACATTGAACAGACACTTGAATAGAGTTGTAAACCATACACTTTTTGCAGAAAAAAAGTAATTTTTCAGAGCAAATATTAATATTGCTAGTCCATCTCCTGGTAACATCATCATGCAACAATTTAAAGAAGGGGAATGTGAGTAACCTCAGGCTCACCTGGGTCACGGTCTGAAAGTGAAGAAGAATCACTATCTTTATCATTCCATCCACCTGCGCGCCCTTCCCATCTGCCATGTGTGCCTCGAGAGTTGCCACCAAATTCACCCCTAGTGGGAGGCGATGAACTATAGTCATTCCTCCTCAAACCACCACCAGAAATTCTTGGTCGCTCGGGTGAAGGATCTTCAGAGTCACTGCTCTCATATAAAGAGTGTACTGATCAACACATAGTAAGAAGATCATAACAGATTTTTACAAACATATGGAATAGAGTCTCACCGCAAGAGTAAATCATTAAACTCAGTGGGAAGACTTGGCAGCTTCTTACAAACATCCTTATCGCTTAAGGATAAAAGAAAATTTCTCGTGTATGAAACAACTCTTGTTTTCCTGATTCAACACAAAAATAAAATAAAACAAACAATTACATCTCCTAGCTGAAACATATGAAAAAAACAAGCAAAAGTTAAGACAGAAACTAACTTTGTGGTTTTTCCAAGTTGATCATCCATGGCAAACTGTTGTTCACTCATTGTACAAGCCACAAGATTGTTAGCTTGTCAAGCCCCAAGAAACACCAAGGTATGTGTCTCAACGCCCTAATCAAGTTGGCTTGCTCTACTATATAGTCTTCGGTATTAAAAAAAAAAAAAAAACAGTGAATCTGAGAGTCTCGATATAACAGTGCCCTAAAGTATTCACTCTCTCCAAGTAACCAACCAGTAATAATCAAATCAAACAACCAACTCCACGATCCAACTTCATAATGTCGTCAGGACCAGAGATATATGTACAGTAAGATTCCGACAAAAGGAAAACTAACTTGTAGTTCTAGCTAATCTCGCATCTCACCAAACAAACCAAAAGTTTTTGAATCGAAGAATCTCAAAAATCTAGATAGACGAAGGAAAGGAGAGCTAAGGAAACACAATTAGGGTTTTGATTCTGCAGAATTGATATGGATCGATTGATTGACGAAAAAAGAGATGATGGGAAGCGAGGAGAATACAACACAACACCAAGTCTACATGAAAGAGAGAGAGGAAGGTAAGCTCACGCGACTTCGTTTTTACGTTTATTCACGCGCTACATTTTCTATTTAATTAAAATTTTTGCCACAAACTTGCAAAACATTTAGACTAAACCCTTTATGTTTTAATATTGTTCCTGTTTTTGACACATTAATGACTTCCACCAAATTGGATTATTTTATAAAAACATTTGCAACAGATAAGCATTAGATAATCCATGAACATTACATGAAGACAATACAATACAATTGAAAATCTGATTCTTCATCTCTTTCCCTTTCCTTTGCCTTTAGCATCAAAATGATGAGACTTTAGTTTCTTCTTCCTCACTGGGGCTCCTGTGCTGGCACCACTGCTTCCTTCCCTGAAAGGCATTCCCATCAGAGCCAACAGTTTCTGTCCTTCTTGATCTGTTTTAGCCGTTGTGCTGATGCATACATCCATTCCTCTTGCTTTCCCTATCGCATCAAACCTTAACCAACAAAGCAACATAGAGTTTTAGTTACAACCAAACCCCCCTTTTAACTCTAGTTTATGTATAGCTTTTGAGGGTAAGAAAGAACTAAACCTGATTTCAGGGAAGACACTTTGGTCTTTGACACCAATGCTGTAGTTACCATTCCCATCAAAGCTACTGGGACTCACTCCTTGGAAATCTCGTGTTCTCGGAAGTGCTAAATTGATCAGACGGTCCAGGAACGAGTACATCACCTGTCACAACATGATTACATATAACTTCATGTAAGAAATTAATGGGAAAATTTGATTAGTATAAATATGAGGGGAAAGAAAGACTCACGTCTCCTCTGAGAGTGACGGCAATGCCAAGAGGTTGATCTTCCCTAATCTTGAAAGTAGCAATGGAAGCTCTAGCTCTTGTCTTCACAGGCTTCTGCCCTGTAATAAGCGCTATGTCTCTCATTGCCGCCTCCAATCCTTTGTCGTTCTGCGCTGCATCTCCTATACCACAGTTCACCACAATCTTCTGAACCTTCGGAACCTGCAAGATAAGAAGATGTCCAAAGCCAGAAACATCAAAGAGAGAGAATGACTTCACATTTTAAATTACAGTTAAACGATTTCTTCTAGGAAAATGTGATCCAACTTCAAGTTAAAATATGGAACATGACCCGAAAACTTTTTTTTTTTTTTTGAACTGAATGTTAAATTTAATTCAAAAAAGAAAACCCTTGCTTATATTCAACTGACAAACAATATTATCAGGACAAGAAGCTTATATTCAGACAGCTTCACACCATTTTCCACAGAAGAAACCAATCCGGAAAAAAAAACCAGAAAAATAATGTGAAATTAATACAAAACAACAAGAATGATCTTTACATACGATATTCACAGAACCTAAGCTCCACATTCCCCAAATGCAACGAGAATTAAACTTCAAACATTTATAAATCGCAACAGAACCAAAAATCTCGGTAACCAGAAACATCAATCCCAAAAAAAACAATTCCCAAAAATTAATACAAAACAACAAGACATTCTTCTGACACATCTTGAATCGTAACAGAACAAGAACTAGGTTTGCGGTAAGAGATTTTAGGGTGTTACCTGGTGAATGTTAATGTATTTGAACTCATCTTTGAGCGCGGGGATGATTCTGTCGAGGTAAGCGGTTTTGAGACGCTGGACTTTCTCAGACTCGGATTTCTCCACCAGCACTGTTCCGGACGCGGAGACTTTCAATAAGTTTCTCAGTGGCGGAGGATGTGCGGAGGATGGAACTGCTAATGAGGGGAAACGGCAGTGAAACGAAGAAGCAGAAGAGTGTAGAAGTGAAGGAGATGCCATGGTCGAGGCTCCAAGTGAGTGGATAAAATTGCAAAAGTGAGAAGAAGCTCTCTTGGTAATTTCTTATCGAATTGTTGATAAGGATTTCTTGTTTAGCCCCTATAAACTAGAGAATTTTCGTTAAAGCCCCATAATTAAAATTTAAGTTAAAATTAACTTTAAAAAGTATAACCTCTTTAAATTAATAATTTATAAATTAATATACATTAAAAATCTTTATAAAAATAATAGAATTAGTTTTTTGGTTCAATAAATATAGAGAAAATGACTAGAATAAACCTTAAAAAGTTTTTATCACAAATATAAACCTTAACAATTAAAATGACCAAAAAAACACTTAAATGTTTTATTAAATATACATTTATACCATTCTGTTAACTAATCCTAGATTTTTTTGTTTAGAGTTAAGGAGTGAGATTTTGTGGAAAGAGTTTCAAATTTTAAAAAATAAAAGATTTTCAAAATAAAAAGTGTGATTTTGGTCATTTTAATTTTTAAGGTCTATTTTGTGATAAAAATTTTAAAGAAATCTATTTGAGAAAATTGTCCATATATATATTAATAAATTAGTGAAAATTATAGTTTGGTGTATTCTGAATATTATTAATTTATAGAAATTTCATATGCATATAAATAAAGTAAGATGGGCTTACTTAAAATATGGGCTTAAAGTCCGGCCCATACTCTTACGACCCGTATCCATACATAAACCCCTCTCTCTCTGTCCTTCTCTACTTTCTTCGATTTGTTTCTCTTCAGGTCTTCGTTTTGGGCAGACAGACATGGCGATTCCTTACATGGAAACGGTCGTGGGTAAGCTTCACATCTTTCTCTCAGACATTCATATTCTCCGCTTACACTCGCCGCGTTTCATTCAATTTCATTACAACTGTCTTCCTTTTTTACTGTATTGAGATTCGTGTGACTAAAGGTTTATTACGCCATCGTCTCTGCTTCTCGTTTCTATATTTGGCTCTATTGTGTGAGACTTGATCTAAGCTTTTATTAATCCAACTGTTTCTCTTCGTATACACGTGTGCTTGTGTGTACGGAATTTTTATTGCTTTACTTGTTCAAAGTTTGTGTGTTTTTTTTTTAAATGGGGTTTGTGTTCCTAACTAACTGGTGGTTTAAAGAGAGAAATTTTTCAAATGGGGTTTTATAGTTGTGTGTTGTGGATCCTCTTGTTAACACGAGTATGTGAAGCAAATCTCCACCAATCTTGTTTTGATCTGATAGTACACATAGACGTAGATTGCTTGTCTTAATACTTCGGTGATGTGAAATGGTATTTTGATCCCTTTTTTTTTATCTCATTGGAACTCCAAAGCTATGAAAAGAAGAGGTATTATTGAAATTTGTAGCATTTTATCTCACATTCAGATTGATTTTTTGTTCTTTTCTTTTTCAGCTTTTATGATAGTGATGTACGTTTTTGAGACGTATTTGGATATGAGGCAACACAGTGCTCTCAAGCTTCCAACTCTCCCAAAGACCTTGGTTGGGGTCATTAGTCAAGAGAAGTTTGAGAAATCTAGAGCATACAGTCTTGACAAAAGGTTTTTTTCTCAATTAGTTTCTTCGTTTTTTCATAGATGTTGTCAGTTAGGCTATTTTTCACTGAGAGGTTGTTTCCTTTTACAGCCATTTTCACTTTGTTCAAGAGTTTGTGACTATCCTTATGGACTCTGCCATGTTGTTCTTTGGGATCTTGCCTTGGTTTTGGAAGGTAGAGATATCTATTTCCATCATTTGCTATCTCATTCTCGAAATATATTGTAAATGTTCATTTTTTCTTGTAGATGTCTGGAGGTTTTCTACCGATGGTGGGACTCGATCCAGAGAATGAAATACTGCACACTCTTTCATTCTTGGCTGGTGTTATGATATGGTCACAGGTCGTTTAAACTTAACCCCTTTCGTGTAGTCTTATGCGTTTAGTATTTAAAATAATCTATTTTTGAAGATAATATGGTTTCTTTTTATATTCTGATGCAGATCACTGATTTGCCCTTTTCTTTGTACTCAACTTTCGTGATTGAGTCTCGACATGGTTTCAACAAAGTATGTCGTACTTCCAACGCTACTTTTTGTCTTAGCTTTTCTTGATCACGCGTGTTGATTAAGTTTGCTTATAAACTCTGTTTGCAGCAAACAATATGGATGTTCATTAAGGACATGCTCAAAGGAATACTACTCTCTGTTGTACTAGCCCCTCCCATTGTTGCCACAATCATTGTTATAGTTCAGGTTTGGCAATTCTTGGTTCATCTTATTCTGTGTTTCTCTTATATATATGAATGTAAGCTTGTAAGTTTTCAGCGTTGGTTTTAAATTCTGAGCATAAGATTTTAATCTTCCTCTTCATTTTTTTTTGCCAGAAAGGAGGTCCTTACCTTGCCATCTACCTATGGGCATTCATGTTTATCCTGTCTCTTGTAATGATGACTATATACCCAGTTTTGATTGCACCCCTTTTCAACAAGTTCACTCCTGTGAGTATTTCATTCTTAGGCCGTTTTACAATATTTTTGCATTATGTTACTAATCTTTCCTTTATCCTTGGGGTATAGCTTCCAGATGGAGACCTCCGGGAGAAAATTGAAAAACTTGCTTCTTCTCTAAAGTTTCCTCTGACGAAGCTGTTTGTCGTCGATGGATCTACAAGGTCAAGCCATAGCAATGTAATGACTTAAATGCTGTAGTTTTCTTCATGCATACATTTCTAGATTACCATAAGATTACGTGAGGACATTTCTTGTTACATCTGACAGGCTTACATGTATGGTTTCTTCAAGAACAAAAGGATTGTTCTTTATGACACGTTGATTCAGCAGGTAACGTGACTCTCATTGAATCACCAAAGCTATTCATATTCTGATTCTGAAGCATGACATTAATGCTAATTTACTTTTTTTGTGCAGTGCAAGAATGAGGATGAAATTGTGGCGGTTATCGCACACGAGCTTGGACACTGGAAGCTAAATCACACTACATACTCGTTCATTGCAGTTCAGGTGAGTAACGCCTGTCTAAATCTTATTTACTCATTATCTTAGTTCACCTATGAAATCATTTCTTATGTATCCATGTTTTTTGTTGCAGATCCTTACCCTCTTACAGTTTGGAGGATACACTCTAGTCAGAAACTCCACTGATCTCTTCAGGAGTTTTGGATTTGATACACAACCAGTTCTCATTGGTTTGATCATATTCCAGGTTTGTTATTTTGGGGTGTTTGGACACTAAACTCATAGAATCAATCTTATAGTCTCCTGTCTGATTATCACAGCACACTGTAATACCACTTCAACACCTAGTAAGCTTTGGCCTCAACCTTGTTAGTCGAGCGTTTGAGTTTCAGGTACAATCTTATAATCCTTCAAGATCCGATTAAAGTTTCTTTCTTTCTTTGAAGGGCATAACTAAATATATAAGTGAACCTTCTTTTGCAGGCTGATGCTTTTGCAGTGAAGCTTGGTTATGCCAAAGATCTCCGTCCTGCTCTAGTGAAGCTACAGGTCAGAGATGACAACAACAAAAAAACACAACACTATTATGTCATACTTTAATGGTTTTTATTTGGTTTGGAATTTTGCAGGAAGAGAACTTATCAGCGATGAACACTGATCCATTGTACTCAGCTTATCACTACTCACATCCTCCTCTTGTTGAGAGGCTTGGAGCCATTGATGGACTGGAGAAGAAGACAGATTAAGTCCTTATAAGGTTTGTCTGTTGTACGAATTGTTGACAGTTTTACGTTCAGTATCTTTTGAGCATCGGATTACTGAGCAAGAGATAATTAATCATGAAATTTTGCAAAGTGATTAAAGATTTATTACATTTATTTGCTGATAGAAAATCTACAGTTGAAATAAAAACAAATTTAATATATCTTACTTGCTTTTAAAAACTATGGGTTTTAAATAAAAATCAAACATTTTCTGGTTAGTTTAAAGAAGTTAAGAACGAAGCATTTGGCTCATGTAATGAGATAATAATATTTTTAGGGAAAATGATACATTGCTTGCTATGATGCTGCAATAATGGGTTTCTCTTTTCGTTCCAACCTTATCTTTGTTCTTTATTCCATTCTCATAATTTTATTACCTTTTAAAAGCAACCCTTTTTACAACTTGGATTACTTAAATTACCAGTTCATCGGTTTAAGAACTCAAAAAAAAAATTAACTAGAAATTGTGTTTTGTATTAGACAATTTGATAAGATTCCAACCAGACCATTAAATTAGAATTTACCATGTAGTTGTATCTCTTCGTCTCGATACGAACAGGGAATTTCAAAAAGTACATTAAGACAAATATAATTCTCATATATTATATTGACAAAAGCTACCACCTTCGATCCACCAAATTAGTAATTATTATAAGAACCTATATTATTATTATTTAAGAAAAGAATCTGTTTTTCTGTCAAATGGAATGCTGATCTGGCCATTGCCTATTATCAACTCATACTTATCTAGACGTATGTATGAAGATTAACCAAGAAATATATGTAGTACAATATCATAACCTAAAAAAGATATGTGGCCTTTAATAGGAAAAATCCAATTCAAAGTAATACATTAACAAACGAATGATATTAATGCAGAGTCTCTAGTCGCTTTGATATTCTAAAGGCGATTCCTTTTCTTGGGAAACTAATGTTCGGTATTAATACCCTTAAATAGCATTCTATGAAAGGCACTTCCACCCATGAATTTCAAGAGAAATTCTCAAATTTTGAGATAGTCAAACGTTACTTTATCATTTTTCTTCTCATTTTAAGAACTCAATCAATATTAAAATTAAAATTAAAACTGAATTGGGTATCTACTCAGTCAGAGTCAAAATTCATACATCATTCTAAATAAGTCTTAAATATGATTTAATAGCTGACAAAAAAATATGATTTAATAATCTTTATACTATTTTTTTTAACTATGATTGAATGACATAAATTAATTCATACATCCTTCTAATTAAGTCTTAAATATGATTTAATGATATTTGTACTTTGTAGTTGTAGAGTCAGAGATTAACACACACATAGTAAAAGCGTACGATAACCGTAATCTCTCCGTCACCCCGTCGTTAAATTAACTTGTTATTACTCAGAAAACCCCTTGAGAGTGCGTAGGTCCCACTTCATTTGGCCTTTCCTAAGAGGGTAAAATCGTCATTAATCGACCTTGTCGCCGTCACCACAAGCACAGATAGAATAGATACGCGGACAGAGATGAGATCAGACAGCTCATTCAAACACAAACACACACTCTCTCTCTCTCTAAAGCCACATGCAACTGTGATTAACTGAATTATCCATTAATTCCCTCAGACAGAAGAAAAAAAAAAAGATTATTCTTTTCCGGCAAGAGATGCGAAAAAGAATCAAACCTTCATCGTAATCAGATCGTTCTTGGCTTATGAATCAAATCTTTAAGACAAGAACGTAATAAAAAATAAAAAGAGAGGATGACGACGATCTCAGTTTTGAATCCTGATCACATAAACTCCGAGCTCTCCAAACCAACGTCGATCTTCGGCCTCAAGCTTTGGGTCGTCATCGGAATCTTACTAGGATCTCTCATAGTCATCGCCCTCTTCTTCCTCTCCCTCTGCCTCACCTCTCGCCGTCGCAACCGCAAACCCCGTCACGTCGATTTCGCCTCCGCCGCCGTCGCAACGCCGCCGGTCTCCAAAGAGATTCAGGAGATCGTCCGTCCTCCTCAGGCGCAGGACCATTACCACCACCCGACGCAGCCTGAGATCCAAGTCGATATCGGGAAGGTGGAGCACCGTGTTGTGTTCTCGGATCGAGTCTCGAGCGGTGAAAGCAGAGGAACGGTTAGTGCAAGTGAAACGGCGTCGTATTCAGGGAGTGGTTGTGTGGGGCCGGAGGTGTCGCATCTCGGTTGGGGGAGGTGGTATACTCTGAGAGAGTTGGAAGCTGCGACGAATGGTTTGTGTGAAGAGAATGTGATCGGAGAAGGAGGTTATGGGATTGTGTATCGTGGGATTTTAAGTGATGGAACTAAAGTCGCTGTCAAGAATCTGCTTAATAACAGGTAAAGTTCTTCAAAAAAAAAAAAAGTTTCAAGTTTTTTTTTTATTTTAGTGACGGAACCAGAAGTAGTTTAGTTTCATGTGTTGTGTTTGGTTTGATAATGGGTCCCATGTATAACTTGAAGGGGTCAAGCGGAGAAGGAGTTTAGAGTGGAAGTAGAAGCGATTGGGCGTGTACGGCATAAGAACCTAGTTAGGCTTTTAGGGTACTGCGTTGAAGGTGCATACAGGTAAAAAAGAAGAAAGAAAATTTGATGCTTGATATTGACTTTGAACTAATAACTAATGTTTTTTTTTTGTTTTTGAAACTATAGGATGTTAGTGTATGACTATGTTGATAATGGTAACTTAGAGCAGTGGATTCATGGTGATGTTGGTGACAAAAGTCCTCTGACTTGGGATATTCGTACCAACATAATACTCGGCATGGCAAAAGGGTATAGTCTCGCGATTGATAGCTTGCATTAGTGAAGCGATACGTAAACTTATTTGTTGTTGTTATAATTCATGAAGATTGGCGTATCTGCACGAGGGTCTTGAACCGAAAGTGGTTCATAGGGATATTAAATCAAGTAATATCTTACTTGATCGTCAATGGAATGCTAAGGTATCAGATTTTGGACTCGCTAAGTTGCTGTTTTCCGAGAGTAGTTACGTGACAACCCGTGTCATGGGAACTTTCGGGTAAGTTCTTCTTTTAGTTTGTATATAATCTTTAAATTCTCCAAAAAAAGCATTTTAAATGTTCTTGTTTTGGTTTTGTTATAAAGTTATGTCGCACCAGAATATGCTTGCACGGGACAGCTGAACGAGAAAAGTGATATCTATAGTTTCGGGATATTGATTATGGAGTTGATCACTGGAAGAAACCCGGTTGATTATAGTCGACCTCAAGGAGAGGTAAAACAAAAACAAAACCATATGGTTTCATCAAAGCTATGGTTCTTAATATCGTCTTGTTTTTGGTTATTAGGTGAATTTGGTTGAGTGGCTGAAAACTATGGTTGGAAACAGAAGGTCAGAGGAAGTAATCGACCCAAAAATAGTTGAACCGCCATCATCAAAGGCTCTTAAACGCTTGTTGCTAGTTGCATTGCGTTGTGTTGACCCTGATGCTAATAAGAGACCTAAGATGGGTCATATTATACACATGCTTGAATCTGAAGACTTGTTTTATCGCGACGTAAGTCTATATTAAAATCACAATATTAATGAACATTTTTCAAGTGATGATATTACTCACATAATATTTGTTTGTAGCAGGAGCGTCGTGCAGTGAGGGAGAATGAAAGCCGCGATCATAACCAGATACAGGCTGCGATTTCAGCAGCCTGAGACCAGCGGAAGTGACAATTCAAGAGACCGTAGATAAAAAAGATGTTCCGGCCACTAATTTTTCAGTTTTTTTTTCTTTTGTTTTTTTTTTTTTTGGTTTAATCAATTTTTAATTGTTTATGTGTGACAAAAATATTATTTATTTTATTTTTAGTAGGCGTATAATTAAGAAATTTGACTGTATATTTCTATTTTTTCCCAAACATTGCCAAAGCAAATACACAGCTAAAGGCGTAGAACAAAATGTGTAAGAAAATTTTGTTTAATTTTGTGAAAGCTGAACGATATGAAAGCTCTAAGAAACAGAACAACATATGAGCTTTTTTTTTTTTGGGACACAAACAAGATATGAGCTAGCTTTAATTATTTTGCTATAGAAAAAGATAATGTCAACTCCTGAATAATTATGGGTTGATAATATGAGGTGTGGACCAATGTAGCTGTTATTTTCAACATAAGATTGATCGGAGTTATCTTTACACATTACATATAGACCAATCAGTGTCATGGTCGCTTTCGCCGGTTTGGGCCCAAAATGGCAATAAGCACATTCCTTATCTGTTACAACACGTAAATAACAAAATAGTGAATAAGATTTTATCTTCTCATCCTTTCGTAAGAGGCCACAGTTGCTCAAGTAATCCACTATCCAATACTATCTTTTATCGAACTTGGTTAGTATTGGCTCTGTCTATGAGAAAGATAAGTCTGATCTCTGTTGGTTTGTTGTGTTGGAACTCTGTTTTTTGACAGAATTATAAGGCTGGCTTTTTCGGTGTTTTTCAGGCCAAAATGATGCTTGTCATGATCAGATTAGAAGCTTACTAGAAACCTTGCAACGAGCACTACAATCACATGTCAAAAAGATTTAAATTGAATGAGAAATGATACAATAGAATTGGTAATTTGTTGTAATCAAAAGATTGAAAAATTTAACTAAAGTGTCAAAAACGCCACAAGTCCCATATCAGCCACAACAAGCTTTGTTGAACTATATCACTCATAACCATGTTTAAAGGTTAATAGGAGAGAAAGAGATGGCTCCATCCACTCGTGTGTTGCTGCGTGCTCGGTTTGGGTCCTGGTGAAGGGCTATATATGTCCAGTAAATTTTCTTGAGACTAAATTACTTTTAATTTTTTACCCGTATTTTTCTCAAAAGTACAACAATATGTATTTTTCCTTTGAACGACATTTAGTCCGTGAAAAAATAACACATGATGAAATGTATAAACAAGAAAATATTATATAGAGGAAATTTCGTAACGCCTTAGTTTGCAAAATTTCCGCTAACATACGCACGTGCTGCAACAGTTAAGGAAAGTAGCTCATCTTTGCCTCCTTGTAAATCAACAGCAAAAATTTCTATAAGTAAGTTTGAGAGTATTTCCTAGATTATTGATTCACAGAGACTTCTTCGCGAGTAACGTGTCAATTGACTTCCATGATTTTATTATGGAACTTGCTATTCGATACCGCCCAACTACGGAGCAAATATAGATAATTAAAGAAATAGATATCAAATCTAGATTTTATGTATGTTTGTGAAAGAGTTTTAATATCATCTTTTATTTAGTCTATATCCTTATTATCGCTTTTATTTATTTCTTTATGCCAATTCGGGTTTTTGGTTTTTTAGAGTCTAACCTCTTTGTCGCTTCTATCATAAGCTTTGCATAAAATGATTTCAAAACGTATTCTATTAGAAAGATATATTCAAGAACTTATGAATGTTTTTAATTATCTACTGAAATGGATTTGGCGATATGCTTTTTGCATATCTGCAAACGTTTCTTGTATCTCTTATAAACAGTTTTTGATTTGTATTTAGCACATCCGCAAAACATTTGATATATCATTATTAAATGGTCTACTATATAAATGATTCGTTTCCACAGACGCTTCCTCAAGTGAATTTGTATAACAATCAAAAAGTCTATACAAACAGTTTTTTCGTGGACCCTTGCAAGCGAGCTTGCAAAACATGTTCATGCTTATACATATATCTTTGTTATAAGAAAATACTCTTTAACGATTATCAGAAAGCACCAATCAAGATTACCAAAAACATGTCCATGAACTCCTGCTTACTCACTCTTTGGGTTGGAGATGGATCGAAAGAACTCCTGCTTTAGTGAACCGTGTGGGCTGTCCATTACAACGCTTTGGTGGAGGTTTTAGCGTGTTGATATCTGCTATTTTGAAAAAGATTCACATAAACAACATAGTTTTGTTTTCTTACAAACCTGTCCATTAAATATGATTATAGCATAAACACAAACAAGTATGTAATGCTATATAGATAATGGTGAATGAGAGAACTTTCATAATGAGGCAGGAGGGAATTCTTAGTATAGGAATACACATTTTTAGACACTAGATTGCATATAAAAAGACACATAAGTATTATGATTATGAGATGATTATTTTTAAGGTGAAAAAATATTATTAGGATGAAAATACACATTTTTAGACATTTAAACAATTTTAAACTAATATAATATTTAAATGAAAGACAGAATGTTAAGATAAAAGGATACATACATATATATTGTGATACCTTCTTTTAAATCAGTGTAACTTTGAAGATGAAAAGACACATTTTCAAGAAGAAAATACACATTTTTTTTGGCTGAACTTTAAAATACACAATTTTTAACACTTATATGGATAACATAGTGTATAATTATTATAAGATAGTAAATTTACAATATATTATGAATAGACGTATCATTACAAAAAGACATTTTATTTTATAACACATAATTATTGAAGAGAAACATATTGAGAATTTTAACAACTTATCAAAAATTAGTTATATAATAAGAAGACAATATTCTTAAAACTAATAGTTGTAGAAAAGCATTTATTGATTGGGATATTTTTAACTAGTTTTTAAAAAATGTAGTTGTTGCATGTTAATCTCATTTTTTCTGAAAAAATACAACTTTTATAATAAAAGACACAACTTTTAAAACTAATAAATACACTAATTAATATATTATAACTACTTTAACAACATTATAATGATTGCAACACCTATTTGGATATTTTCAACTATTTTAAACTATTTTAAGTTGGAAGGTGTGGGATAATTTTGAGAGAGTTACGGTTTAGGACACAATGTGACTTTTGTTATCATTAAAAGACACATTGTCAAACTAACACACATATACTAGACAGCTGGCATTTTTTGGACCGTTCTACCCTCACGTTTACTAACTATCATGGTTACTAGTTACCTACAAGTAACTAATTAGACAGAGAAAACAAGATGGCTAGCGTAAAAACATCTAGATATATGGACAAGATCTATACTTTTGAAAGATTAAAGATTAAAAGTTTCAGTAAGATATGAGAAGTAAGACATAAGAAGAAAATCTCTAGACTTGTGAAAGATTAAGCATTTATCCATATGTATAACTAGACAGCTTGCAAATAATGTTTGATCACCATCCACAAAATTCTCGTCCACTAAGACTAGTGGAAAAAAGAGTGATGGATGAAAGAGTGATGGATGAAAGAGATATGGACAACCGGTTGTGGATGAATCAAATTTGTGTACACGATTTGATTCTTCTACCACCTTCGAAACGGCGTCGTAATCAGATACGTTCGTGGAGAACGGGAGACTTCGACTCCCGTGGCGAGCTTGATATATTCTTTGGCCTCCTAGAGCTTTTGGCGGCGGATCGGGCGAGGATTAAGACACGAGCGCTTCTGAGACGGCTGGATGAACGAGTGCGAGATTGATTCTGCTAAGTCCTCCGGTGATGAAGACATGGCGAGATTTGACTGGGATTTTTATGCGGCGAGGGCAGACGATTAGGGAAAAGATAGTGAAGAGTGAGAATGGGAGAAGGGGAATGAGGAAGAGAAGAAGGTTTCTGTCATTTAAGAGTTTGGATCTCGGCGATGTAAAAGTCAATGATCGATCACTGGAGAAGATGGCATAAGTTGATCAATGGAGAAGATGAAAAAAGGTAATTAAGAAAGAATGTGAAAAGTTGAAAAATGTCAAAATGTCCATCTTCATTTCTTGTTTGCTTTTTTTTTTCAGTTTTCATTTATTTGTATGTAGAAACTAGATAACAATTAGTTAAAGGATAGTATTGTCTTTGTATATGTGAAAAGTGTGTCTAATATCCAAAGTGTCTTTGAATGTAATTGATATCTTAAAATGTGTCTTTGGAAGTAATATTCTCGGTAATTTACCAAACCAAATTGTTAAGTATCTTTGTTATAATAGATATGATTTTTCATAAGATATAATAATGATAAGATTATTAGAGAGTTAATGTAACATAACTTTCTAGCAATAGTCCATTTTTCAAAAAATCATACATGAAGTCAAGTTATGACTTCTGTTTTAATATATAAGATAAATAAACTAATTAAGATATTATAACTACTTTAACAACATTATAATGGTTGCATGTTAAGACACCTATTAGGATATTTCTAACTACTTTAAAAACTAATTTTTTTTTTTTGAAAAACCATATCGACTGATCTGGTCGGTTCCAGAAAAAAACGCACTTAGTGTTATAGAGTAGACTTACTATCAAACTGCCTGGTCCAAATTTGGAATACTTTCTAACTAATACCAATGGTTGGGTGAACCAAATCATGTTACGATCCACCATGTAAATCACTTTGGCCGAAGCAATAATAGTTTAGTTGTATGTTGCAAAAACAAAATTAATCTCAATTTTTTATAAAACATACAACTCTTATAATGAAAAAACATAACTTTTAACTAAGAATTGTAGAACGACAGTTATTAAGATATTATAATTATTTAAAAAAAAATCCAATTGTTGTATGTTGGAAAAGCAAAACTAATCTCATTTTTAATAAAAATAACACAACTTTTCTAATCTTTTTATATGAATTTTAATCTTTATTATAAAAAATTAAATGGGTTATGCGAACCTAAACCCAATCTGAACCTGCAAAAATTTGAACCAAACCGCAATGATCTAAACCAAACATAATCTAACCGAACCAAATGGTATCCAAATGTCCATATTAATAGCAAAATATATATTTAAATACAACATATTTTAAAAAGCTTACCGCGCATAGCGCATGTTATCACCTAGTTATAATTGTTTTAAAAAAAAATCCAATTGTTGTATGTTGGAAAAGCATAACTAATCTCATTTTTAATGAAAATAACACAACTTTTCAACATTAAATGAGATTCATATTATAAATAAATATAGATTTCTAGGTGGAGATTGTCATTAAATAGAAACAAATTACACATTAAATAGAAATTCAAAACTATTCATGACTAAGATATTAACCAAGTTATCGACCCAAATCTTTTACCAATGCTAGTAGTAGTTCTAAATAGGTAAGAACACACACCCATCTCCTTCCTCCTCCTATTTATACTTTCTCTCCATGCAAAAAGATTTGCTAGATTATAATAAGTCTTGTCTACCTTCCCTTTCATTTCTTTTGCTTCTAAACTTTTGTCTCTCTTTTTTTGTGTGTTTTCAGTTAATATGAAGAACTGTGGAAACCCATTCAAGGCTTTGTTTCCAAAGAAGAACGATGCTTGCATATGCCCACAAGTTCTCTCTCTACTGAACGACTTTGAGACAAGTTTGACGGTATCGATTGCAGAACTTGTACCAAAGGGTGATGATGGGAAGGATTTTATCACTGTTTCTTGGATGATTCAAGCAATGCACTCTCTTTGTGAGACACACCAGAGTTTCACGACACTCGTGACCAATCTAGAACTTCCTGCATCCGACATGGAACAAAGCTTGATTTTTATGCACTGTGACATCAGTGCGAAGCTGCTTCAGCTCTGCACCGCCTTCGAGTCAGAGCTGGACCGGCTTAACCACGGAAACATGTTACTCAAGTTTGCTTTTGGTAAGCCTGAGGAGTTTTCTTTATCGCATCTCGACCGTTGGAGGCAGCATATGGCTTCCAAGAACCCGAGAATCGAAAACTGCGGTGAGGTTTTGAGTAGTCTTGTTGAATCCATGAATCATCATCATAGCCTCTACAAGAAGGTGAAGAAGACGAAAGAAAATGAAAAAGAAAAGGTTCTCCTGCGAGCTCTATATGGTGCACAGGTCGAGACTTTATACATATTCAGCGTGTTTGATGCAGCGTTTACTGGTTCTTCCAAGAATCTCTTGTACTTAACCATTCCAAAGGATATGGAGGAGGTTCCTTGGGGACAAGCTTTCATGGAACTGGAAAACATGATCAACATGGAGATCAAGAACACGTTCTTATCAGACAGATTCATGGTTATAAAAGATCTCGAGGCTGTTGAATCTGGTGTGGAGAAGCTTTACGCAGAGGTCCAAGAACGTTCAGTAGTTCCTAACTTGTTGATGGTGGAGCAACTGAATCAATCAGTGATGGAACTTTCAGAAATGATTGATCTTGTCTTCAAGGAAATGAGCTGCTTGTTCGACGCGTTGACCTCTGCTCGAGACGCATTGTTCGACAAGCTCAGGAACAAACTCGAAGATAAGCTAGCTGGGAGTAAGTAACATTGTCGATGATTATGTTAAGACTTGATTGTGAGTTAGTGCAAGGTGTGTTTCTTGTCTCATGTTCAGTCTGGGATTATGTTAAGACTAGTTTGTATTTGTTGGATTAATGCATGCATGTGAGCTTAAGTCACTTTCATATTTTCAATCTGGGATTTTCTTTCCATAACACTTCTTTGGGAAAATGACATCTTAAAGTTGTTCCTTGAGAATACATGCAATGCAGGCATGTCTCAAGTTATTATCAGCAAGCATGAAGAGGAAAATAAATACGAGAATTACTTATATTCCTCCCAAAATTTGATAAGAAATAAATGTAATCTATTATTCCTTAAATGTAAAAAAATGTTAAAGAATCACATGAAACAAATATTTCTTCTAAATGGTGTATATTGTAAGGAATGATAAACAATTCACCATTTCTACTCATTCTTTTGGTCACCATTTAAAGCCACAATCGATGAATCAGATTTCGAGGTCCAACAAATACAAAATATTTTTCCTTTAATCTGATGCTTGACATGGATTTTTATGTTTATCACGCTTGTATTATCTCTTTGATCCAAAACAAAAATCATCATTATATAGTTGTGATAACAACTTCAAGCTCATCCTAGTTTGCATTTGTTGGATTCATGCATGCATGTGTCAAACTTCAAGCTCATCTCTGCAAGGTGGAAAATAGCCTTGTAATCAATTTCACAATGATTTTGCGATATCTGCTGCATGGATCCTGATTTTAAGGAAATTCATTTGGCAAAGGGATCTGAACCTTCTATCTTATCTAATACGATGAGAAGGGCATATGATGAAACACACCACGCCTTTTCTTGTCCATTATCATTTCCACCTTATTTAACTTGTGAACCAAGTAATGAGTTTATAACATTATTATGAAATAGATTTTACAATTCTGTTTGGTAATGATTTTATAAATTCAACTATTAATTTATTTTAGATCTCATCTATACTATTAAAGAAAAATCTCTTACATTATTTTTTCCATGATTTAACATTGTAATTACAACTTATGTCACTGAAACAATATTATAATATTCAAAAGAGAGATCCACTTAAAAAATCATTAGAAAAGGAAAATAAAATAAAAGGACTTATAGCATATTCATTTCACTATCTAGATAATGCATCTAGATGGAGAAGAGATTTTTGTTCGTTTTATACTTTAAACTATGAATCATCTGGATGACCCATCAAGATCAGTTTTATAATTTTAGCCTAAAATGAGAGTTATCCAGATGATTCATTAAGATGAGTTTAATTGGTGCATATGGATGGAAACGAACATGCCTAAATAACAAATGACAAATTATTTTTACTCTAATAAATATTAGGTGTTTTTCTGCAACATGTGCAAAAATAAAAGTTTTATGATTTAAATTATATTTTTAAATTTATAGATTTTATTATTCGCTTTACAAAATAGAATTTAAAACTTTAATTTAATTATATGTAAAAAGTAAGATAAAGTTAATTTTTAAAATTTATATTTGATAATATATATGTATATATTTTAAATTATAATTTGAAAATATTGTTAGGACAATTCTCTCAAATAGCCATTTTAAGTTTTTGTCACAAAAACAGCCTTCAAATATAAAATGATCAAATAGCCCCTTTTTATTTTAAAATTTGTAATATTTATTTTATATTTTTACAACTTTAAAACCCTAAACCCAAAACCCCACCCCCTAACTCTAAACCCTAAATCTAGATTAGTTAACCTAAGGGTATAAGTGCATATTCACTCTAAATCCTAAGTCTAGATTAGTATGCCAATGGTATAAGTGCTTATTCACTTTAAACACTAAGTCTATAGTATGCCAATGACCAAGATTTTGGTTCTTCCTTCATCACATCTTCATACAATGACATGTTATAATCCTGTAACTTAGTAAGTTCTTCCTTGAACTGTGTCTTATTATAGCTCCAAGCAAGATTTCAGATTTTCAACAATGTGTTTCACACAACGCCTATGCTCTGCATTTGGTAACTCTGATTTGATTGCACTTATGAGTCCCTGAAATGATACATAAATATAAGTAAAATAGTTAACGATTCAAACAAAATGCTTATAATCTTGATTCTTACCTTTGAGCTATCTGATAGAAGGACATAATTTCTGCCATCTTCAAGAGACAAATCATGCTTCAGTCTCTTGATAAACCAAAGCCATGTATCTGCAGTCTCAGCTTGTACCACAGCCCAAGCAAAATGAAATATCTGGTTGTTAGCATCATGTCCTACAGCAGTAAGTAATATTCCTTTGACTGCAACCTTCAAAAAAGTTCCATCGAGCCATATTATTGGCCTACATGAACCTCTCCACGAGCTCCTAAGCTTTTCAAAGCATACATAGAACCGATCAAATACATCTGGGATTTTCTTTCCATAATACTTCTTATACAAGAAGAAGACAATATTTACTTCTCAAAATAGCCCCTTTTTATTTTATATACAAGAAGAAGACAATATTCTTAAAATTAATAATTGTAGAATCGGAATATTTTTAACTAGTTTTTTTTTAAATTATAATTGTTGCATGTTGAGAAAACAAAACTAATCTCATTTTTTATGAAAAAAATACAACTTTTATAATTAAAAGACACAAATTTTAAAACTAATAAAGACACTAATCCCTTATACATAATTTGACAAGTGATTTTGACATGTGTTACTACCACATTCATTTTCACTAATAATGATGACATGACTTTCGGAAAAAATAACATGGCATCAACTTAATATGACATGTAATATCCCTTTATTAAATTTTATATTTTTTATGGAAAGACTTTTTTAAAATGTTATTGGCTAATAAATTTTATACTATCATGATTACATAAATTTTATGTATAAATAGTTATTTTGGTAATATTTTTGAAATATATTAATAACTAATAAATTATGTATCACCATTACGTTAATTAAAATTTGATTTTTACCATTTTAATTAAAAAAATCTAAGTCTTATTAGTATTTATATATTTAAATATAGAAATACTTAAAATTAGGGATGAAAGAAATACTTGAAATAAATAATTATTAAATATAATATAAATAAAAACTATTTTATGAAATATAATTTAAACTTTATTGAAAATTAAGTGGAATAATTGAAATAAATAAACCAAATCAAAAGAAACAATTTAAAAAACATTTAAGTTTTATTTTTACTAAATCTGTAAACTAAAATATAAAAGTAATAATGGCACAATGTAAACTATTTTATAACTAAAATACTACTATTTAAAATTTCTTTTTCTGCACATGGAGAATGAAAACACCTAGTTAGGATATTATAACTACTTTACAAACACATTATAATAGTTGCATGTTAAAATATAGAAAGACACCTATTAGGTTATTTTTAACTACTTTAAAAACTTTTTTCAGTAGTTGTATGTTGCAAAAAAAAAAAAAATTAATCTCAATTTTTTATAAAAAGATACAACTCTTATAATGAAAAACACAATATCCTAAAGATGGGTAACTTGGGCCTGAGGCCTTTCAGATTTAATGAAGTTTATGTGTTACAAAAAAAAAAAAAAAAAAAACACAATTTCTAACTAATAATTGTAGACACACAATTAGATCTATATAATATTATATTTTTTTATTGGTTGAAAAGTGGTTAGGTGTATAGGTAATTGTGTTTTTATCTTGAAAATATTTAAAATTAAATGTTTATTTAATCTGTGTGTAAAAACTTAGAATGACAACTACAGTGAAATGGATGGAGTATTAAGATATTATAATTATTGTTTAAAAAAAAAAAATCCAATTGTTGTATGTTGGAGAAGCAAAACTAATTTCATCTACAAGAAAACAATTTTTTAACTACGAAAATTAACGAGGAAACAAGGTTCTCATAAATTTACGTGGGGTTTACGAGTATCTTATGAGGAAATATTGAATCCACATAGATTCGTCGTTAATTAACGAGAAAAATGTGTCCTCGTAAAAAAGACGTTAATTAGCGAGGAACATACGTGGCAGACTGTTTTCTTCGTAAAGTACTCACTAATATTGCGTGTATTTTACGAGGAAACCTTTTACGAGAAAATAACGAGTCTAACTATTTTTTAGTTGTAAACGTGTTTGTAGTGTTCTAATTTTCCTCGTAAATTCGTGGTAAAATGTCAGCTACTAACTTTCAAATTTTCCTATAAATATGTCATTTTGGTTTTAAATAAAACACACCAAAAACTGAAAACGTAAAAGAGAGAGAAAAACTTGAAAACGTGAAAGAAAAAAAATGTCCGGTGATGAAAATATTTTCGAGAGCCGGAAGGGGATGTATACACATAGAGATGGTAACGGGAGGGTGACAAAAGAATTCCTCGAAGGACTGATGTATACACATAGAGATGGTAACGGGAGGGTGACAAAAGAATTCCTCGAAGGACTGGAGACATTTATGCATCAAGCAGATTCTACACCGCTCACGCAGGAAAGCGGTAAGATGTTATGTCGTTGTCGGAAATGCAACAATTCAAAATTAGGCCCTCGTGAAAATGTTTGGAAACATTTAGTAAATAGAGGTTTCCATGCCATATTACTATATTTGGTTTCAACATGGAGAAAGTTATAGTTGTGGGAATGAAGCTAGCAGTAGTAATAGCATTTTTCAGGTTGAACCGGTTGATCATTTGCACAATGAAAATAGTTACCATCAGGAGGAACAAATGGTAGATTATGATAAGGTTCATAATATGGTCGGTGATGCATTTGTAGCTCATGATGAAGAAGAACCTAATATAGATGCAAATTTTTTTTATGAAATGTTAGATGCTTCGAACCAGCCAATTTACAGTGGTTGTAGAGAATGTCTCTCTAAACTGTCGTTGGCTGCTAGAATGATCAATATTAAAACTGATCACAATCTAACTGAAAATTGCATGGATGCATGGACAGACTTGTTTAAAGAGTATTTGCCGGAAGACAATGTGTCTGCTGATTCTTATTATGAGATTCAGAAATTAGTTTATAGTCTTGGTTTGCTTTCGGAAATGATAGACGTTTGCATCGACAATTGCATGATTTACTGGGGAGATGATGAGAAGTTAGAAGAATGTCGATTCTGCAAAAACCAACGATTCAAACCACAAGGACGATGGCGTAATAGGATACCGTACCAAAGGATGTGGTACCTACCAATTAGAGACAGATTGAAAAGATTGTACCAATATGAGGAGACTGCTGGAGGGATGAGATGACATGCCGAGCATACACAGATGGAGTGTGAGATGAATCATCCATCAGATGCAAGAGCTTGGAAACATTTTAACAAAGTACATCCAGATTTCGCTAGCACTAGCCGGAATGTGTATCTTGGATTATGTACAGATGGATTTAGTCCATTTGAAATGTCGGGGAGACAATATTGATTGTGGCTAGTCTTTCTTATGCCATACAACCTTCCACTGGAGATGTGCATGCGATGGGAGTTTCTATTCATGACCATATTAGTACCTGGTCCGAATCATCCAAAAAAGTCTCTCGATGTTTTTCTACAACCTTTGATAAAAGAGTTGAAAGATTTGTGGTCAACAGGGGTGAGAACGTATGATTGTTCTAACAAAAACAAATTTTACGATTCAAGCGATGCTTCTATGGACCATAATTAACTTTCCTGCATATGGGATGTTCCTCCAAAAAAGAACAATGCATGCATGTACCCACATCTTCTCTCTCTACTGAACAACATTGAAACAAGTTTGATGGAAAGGGATTTTCTCACTATTTCTTGGATGATTCAAGCAATGCACTCTCTTTGTGAGACACACTAGAGTTTCACGACACTCATGACCGATCTTGATCTTCATGTATCCAACATGGAAGAACGTATGTACACTGACATCAGTTTGAAGCTGCTTCGATCAACTCTGCAACGCCTCAACTCAGAACTAGGGATGTTAATATGGTAAAACCCACCCCATTTAAACCCACCCCATTTAAGACCCACCCCATTTAGAACCCATATCCATTTAGACCCATTTACAAATAGGTCTATTAGGGCTACCCATTTAAATGTAGTTATTTTACTCTAACCCATTTAAACCCATTTAGACCCATTTAAACTCTTGTTCACTTTTTATTCTAATTTTTTGTTTCAATTAAAATTACGTTTTCTCACTAAAACCGAAAAATTACGTTTTTCCGTCAAGACCGAGAAATTACATTTTCCCGGCAAAACCGAGAAATTACCTTTTCCCAGCAAAACCGAGAAATTACGTTTTCCCTACAAAACCGAGAAATTACGTTTTCCCGCCAAAACCGAGAAATTACGTTTTCCCGCCAAAACCGAGAAATTACGTTTTCCCGCCAAAACCGAGAAATTACGTTTTCCCGCCAAAACCGAGAAATTACGTTTTCCCGCCAAAACCGAGAAATTACGTTTTCCCGCCAAAACCGAGAAATTGCGTTTTCCCGACAAAACCAAGAAATTACGTTTTCCCGACAAAACCAAGAAATTACGTTTTTGGCGTAAAATCTCAATTTTGGTTTGGCGAGAAAAACTTTATTTTTGGTTTTGGCGACAAATCTCGATTTTCAATTTTGGTGGAAAATCTCAATTTATTTTTATTTTCGGTTTTGGTGGGAAAAAAAACTATTTTCAATATTAAAGGAAACGCGATAAAATGTGTGAAAAAAAACAAATGGACTAAATTTAAATTACTAAAAAATATAAATGGGTTAAACGGGTCCCCGATTATTTTAGACAAAACCCACTTAATAAATGGGTCTTAATAGGGTTACCCATTTAAAACCCGACTAGTTAAATGGGTCTAAATGGGCATTTATTTTTTCCAGAACCCATTTAAAACCCACGAAAATAAACCCATCTTAACATCCCTACTCAGAACTGACCCGGCTTGAAAACTGCGTTGAGGTTTTGAGTAGTCTTGTTGAATCCATGAATCATCATCATAGTCTCTACAAACAAGTCCTCATGCGAGCTCTATATGGTGTAAAGGCCAAGACTCTATTCATACTCAGCGTGTTTGCTGCAGCGTTTTCTGGTTCTTCCAAGAATATAAAGGAGATGGAGGAGGAGGTTCCATGGGAACCGCAGAACATAATCAACCCGGAGATCAAGAACACGTTGTTATCAGACAGATTCACGGTTATACAAGATCTCGAGGCTCTTGAATTTGGTGTGGAGAAGCTTTACGCAGAGGTCCAAGAAGGGTCAGTTCCTAATTTGATCTTGTCTAAAAATAAACGAGTTGCTTGTTCAAGACGGTGATCTCTGCTCGAGGCTCTGAACGAAATATGAGTGTTAAGGACTTGTTTGTGAGTCTTAAAGTTGTTCCTTGGGAATATGTGCAATGCATGCATGCATGTCTCAAATTATTCGCACCCTACCATAAACATATTTTGGAATAGATTCTTGATAAGCGAGCATAACATACAATCAATGAATCAGATGCCTCAAGGTCCAACAAATACAAGATATTTTCCTTTAGTCTGATGCTTTTTTTTTTTTTTTTAATCTCTTTCATGCTTTTATCTCTTTGATCCAAAACAAAATCATCATTATATAGTTGTGATAACAACTTCAAGCTCATCTTAGCTTGTATTGTCGGATTCATGACATTTTTTCACTTTTAGCCTCAAGAAAAATAATAAAAACCAATGTTAATTGAGTTTGAATAATAAGAACCAAACAACAACAAAAAATTGACTATTGCTATTTGCAAGCATAATTTTGATAACATAAAGTTTATTAAACTTGGAAGCAAATACAAAGCAGGAAGATCTGATTCCTAGAAGCAGATTATTTCTTCCTTTTTATTCATAAAAAAAGAAGAGTAAAAGATACATATGAGTTTGTTTACTATATAGGCACCTCCACGTCCTCAGGCTGTGACGCTACATAAACCCTTATTCTCCAGCATTTTGATTTATTACATTACACAACATTATTTCTTATTTTATTTTAGTGTTGGATCCTTCCCACATATTAGGAGGATGTTCATACGTATTTAGTCACAGAAACGACTTCAAACTCAACTCCCACGTAAAGCTTATCCCTCACCAAATAAGGTTCACAAAGTTTCGACAGAGGCATGAAGTCAGCAAAACCATTACCGTCATCAAATTCTTCTTTAAAACATTTCCAATCTAACAAAACAAATGTGTGTTAAAAAATGTTTCAAAAGTTAGCTTTATAACTTCAAAAAGATTTCTCTTAATAATCATGCATGATACCTGTCTTCTCAACATGATTGCGGTTAACTTGATCCAATACTCTCAGCTTAAACTTCGCGTAAGTCTCTGTCTTTGGTGCATTTTTTATAAACCCTTCTCCCACTAGATACACAGAGAAAAATTCGCCGTCTACTTCGAAACATCCTGTTGGATGAACTTCTATTCTCCTACTCAACACACTCACACACAACATATATGAAAATTTATAACTATAAAAGTGTTTTTTATTTTTTTGGGAATGAGCATAATCACCATGTGCGGTTTCCGACGACAAATGGATTGGAGAGATGAGCCTTTTCAGGGTCGAAAGAGGAGAACTTGGTCATCATCCAAGTGACTTTGTTATTGAGAGGCTTCTCAATTAAACTAAAACATTCAGCTGTTCCAGGTATCTCAGGAAACTGATCAGGAAGAGTGGCACCAAACATACAACAGTCTCCAATAAGGAACCCTTTGCTCTTAAGACCACTCAGTGACATCAAATTTGTAATCCCTTTTTCTATCGGTTCTGATGTTGCATTAAAGTCCCATTTTACTGCACCCATCAACATCGTCGACACATGTTACAATCAAACCTTATATATATAAAGATTAAAGAGGTGCATGGAGAGACAGGAGAGAAAGAGACCAGTGTTTTTGGGGTACCATTCTGCCTTTAACTGACTTACGACATAGACCTGAAACTCGAGCTCATCCTCTACTGGATCTTGATTCTCTAAGAAAACGGAGACATTCTTTTCATCCTCAATATTCAGAACGATTTTCCTGTTTTCATACAAAAATCAATATAAGAAAAAAAAGGATGGAGCTTAATTATATATAATCAATTTAAAAACTTGTCAAAAGAAAACTCTAACCATTTGCGACCACAGAGATCAAAAGCAGAAGATTCCATACACTCAATCTTATACTTCGTGATTAGAGAGAAATTGTCTATCTTGAACAAGTGAGAATTTGGGTGATTCTTCTTGAATTCTTGCACCATTTCTGTGAAAAGGGAAAAAAAAAAGAGATTGAAACCTGAAACTGATCATGATAAGGTATAGAAAGACTCTATATAAAAGTTATATTGTTTTTACTTTCAATGGGTATTGGACGTCGTAACATGTTGACAAGCTGCGAATGATATGATTTTTTTTTTTTTTTTTGATGGAGGCTTTATGCATTTGAGGGTGTAAATCAATAGCTATATATATACACATTAGATGAACAAGAGCCAAGTGAATCAAGCATTTGTCTGATGTCTCCATTTTGGGCCCAACAATTTTCGAATTCGAACAAAAACATTCACCGTGGAGTTAACGCTATATAGAGATTCGAGATTGGTAAGCAATAATACATCAGATATTTTAGGTATATTATCTATTTCCTACGTACAGTCGACCTTATCTTGATACCATGCAACAATTATTCTCATACGTGTGCAAGGAAGATTAGAAGTTAACTGAATAATCATGTACTGCACTATACATCAAACCAACAATTTTCATATACTAAGCTCCAAACAAAATGAATTGGTTCTTTTCCCGGTACACACACATTTCTTTAACCGACTTATTAAACAGAAAAACAGATATGTTGAACACTGGTTAACATGTATTCTTTTCCCTTGTCGCTGATGAAGTTGACTTATAGTATATGGTGAACGTAAGACCATCTCCATTAGTGAACCCCCCTTTGGGGTTCACAACATTTTTTTAATATATTTCGTGTGGGGTCATGAATAGTGATGAACCCATATATATTTTGTACCTCCATTAATGAACCCGAAGATAGAGTTCATATGAAAAAAAAAAAATTGTAATTAAAAGTTTAATTCAATACATTGAAAATTGATAAACATACATTTTTATAAAAGTTTTTATTTAATACATTGAGAATTGATAAACATACTTTTTAAAAAAAGTTTTTATTCATAAACAAATATAGATTATTCATCTTGATTACCGAATTTTTGCCATATATTTTCAACTAAATCAGCTTGCAAACGAGCATGTACTTGTTGATCCCGGATTTGATTGCGAATCTCAAGCATATTACCGATATGGGAAGGGGTGTCCGTAGAGTACGAGAAATCAACCTGAGAACCCCTGCTTGTCTCTCCTGATACGAAGTCAGATGTATCAAATTGAGTGTACCCATCTCGTTCGTTCTCTACTATCATATTGTGTAGTATGACACAAGCTCGCATAATCCTCCCTATCTTCTGTTTGTCCCATTGTAGAGCCGGATTTTTCACAATTGCGAACCTAGCTTGCAAGACTCCAAAAGCACGTTCGACATCTTCTCTGACGGATTCTTGACGTTCAGCAAATAACTCGGCATTAGGAGTTTGAGGAAGTGGGATGGATTGGATAAATGTTGACCACTTTGGATAAATTCCACCCGTAAGGTAGTACGCCATACGATAATTGTTGCCGTTGACCTTGAATTTAACTTTAGGAGCGTGACCTTGTAAAATATCATCAAAAACCGGTGAGCGATCAAGGACATTAATATCGTTGAGAGTACCTGGAGATCCGAAAAATGCGTGCCATATCCAAAGATCATGGGATGCCACAGCCTCTAAGACAATTGTCGGCTTTCCTGAACCACGGGTGTACTGACCTCTCTAAGCCGTTGGGCAGTTTTTCCACTTCCAATGCATACAGTCGATGCTGCCTATCATCCCTGGAAACCCGCGTACCTCGTTGACATCAAGTAATCGTCGAAGATCTTCTCGGGTAGGTCTTCTTAGATACTCATCACCGAACAAGTGTATTATTGCAGTAGTGAAATTATCCAAACATTCAAGTGCAGTACTCTCACCAAGTCGGAGATATTCGTCATACGTATCTCCCGCTTGACCATATGCCAGCATACGTATAGCTGCCGTACACTTTTTGAAGTGCAGATAGGCCGTATCTTCCGTGAGCATTTCTTCTCTGCCGAAAATATGGAACTTCATCACCGAGGCGATCGACAATGCGGACGAACAATGGCTTGTTCATACGAAAACGTCGTCTAAACATCTCTGGTGGGTATGTAGATTGTTCTTTGAAATAGTCATTCCATAGTTGATTGTGATTCGCGATCTCTTTCGATATAAGCTCGTCTTCTCGGTTCGTTGACTCGAACACCGGTTAGTGAGGCCAGGGTCTGATCGAAATATTGATCAAATTCTTCTTCGAACATTTCATCAAGAGCTTCGTCTAACTGCTCATCTATGGCACTGGACGATGATGAAGACATTAAAAAAAAAAAAGATTATGGTTTTCGATCATACAAGTCTGAAAGAGAGAGAATGGGAAAGAGAGACAATGGAAAAGAAAAACAATGTTTTAAAAGAGAGACATGGTTTGGATCATAATGATATTAGAAAAGAGATACATGGTTTGGCATATATTTTTCGTGATGGTTTGGAACAAACAAGTCCCAAAGAGAGAGAATGGGAAAGAGACAATGGCAAAGAAAAACAATGGTTTAAAAGAGAGACATGGTTTTTTATAACTAGAGTTCATAAAACATTACAGAGACATGGTTTGCTTGAAATAGAGATACATCATATATAGTCCTAGAGATTACATAAAAGTCGTGGAGATACCAACCAAAAGACAACTACATCCGTGAAAGAAAACAAGTACAACTACATCCGTGAAAGAAAACAAGTACTTTCCGTGACACAAACCGACAACAAACTTGAGTAAAAGATGCTGAAGACACAAGTTGTTTCTGCAATGTCCACCCGTGACCTGCAAAGCAACAAAAGATAACGCAAAAGAAGATAAGTAAACAAACTCCACAACAAAACAGAATAACAAAATATACAAACTTAACAAAAGCAACTCAAGCAATTAACTTAAGCAGAAAACAGATAGAAGCAACTAAATCAAGCAACTCAAGCAATTAACTTAAGCGGAAAACAAAACTCAATCAATGCTAAACCACTGACCAGATCAAACCATTTCAGAAAGAAGTTTGTTTTTTAGAGACAATTCTAGCTCAGATAGGTCATCCTTTTGGGCAAGGAGGCGTTCCAAGAGTTTTCTTTTGGATATGTTGTCCTTCATCAGAAGCATGCTCTGAAGTTGATCATATGCGGCTTCTTTTCCATGCTTTTTACGTTTAGCAGAGGCCTTGGCCGCTTTCACACCAAGAGGTCGAACTTCCTCCAGATCAGGCACCTCCTCCACAGGCTCCTTTCTTTTCTCCTTTGCACCGTCTCGGGGTAGAGAGTTTGATCTCCATTTCTGATCATACCTTAGCTCTCTCCAGGCATGTTCCATAGCGAACGTAGCGTTGTAGTCATTGGTGAAAAATGGAATCTGCTGCTTTCATGACATCAACTTCATTTGTGCCGCTTCCTACATCCTTCACCGCGGCCTCATAGCTTCCCACAAACTTACACACCTGTTCATTGATTCTTCCCCACCTCTGCTTACATTGACTTAACTCTCTAGGAGTTAAGTCATTTAGCAGAGGGCTTGCATTGAAATATTCCTCTATGCGCTTCCAAAACGAGACTGCCTTCTGCTCGTTGCTGACGATGGGGTCTTTGCTCGTATTTAGCCACGCACTTATCAGCACAATATCTTCTTTTTGTGTCCACTTTCGCTTGCATACGGGTTTAGGATCTTCGGAGCTTTGACTGCTAAACCTAGGAAGCTCTGGAGATTCTAAGTCTATCGTCTGACTGTTTTGGGATGTTAGAAGATTAACAAACCCGGGAGAGTTGAAGGAATAAGGATCCATTTTGGTTTTTGGGTGGTGTGTTTTACATTCAGTTAGATTTGCTATCTATTTAAAACAAGTTTTGGCTTAGAGAGAACAATTGAAACAAACTCTCTTAATTGCACAAAAACATTCACAGTGAGCAATCAATACACATCAAATCGAATATCTGCTACTTCTACTTCTACTTCTAATCGAACAACATCTACTTTAAGTTATAGTTAATTACACAACAACAACATGCAGCATTGATTACAGTCGAACAACTACTACTTTATAGTCTACTTTAGATAACTTTTCAAAGTTGTACTTCTAGTTTAAAAAACTTAGCTTAACTGCACAACCACAACGACAGTGAGCATTGACTAAAAAGTCACAGTTAAACATCAAATCAGTATAAGGGTGTTTGCTATTATACTCTTTTAACTGTAATTTTATTTAAGTATAACTGAGGCTAGTTCTACTTCTAGTTGTAGTTCTAGTTTACTACAACCAGTGAGACTTCTAGTTGTAGTTCTAGTTTACTACAACCAGTTCTAGTTCTACTTTACTTTACTTTAAGAGGTTTCGTTTATTTTTTCAGTTCTAGTTTACAAAAAAAAGTTAGACTAGTTGGGGTTCAGACAAATACATTAAAAAAAAGGTTTCAGCTTAGACTGTTACCTTGGCTGTTCATTCGAAGCATATTTTCTCCAGGTTAGCTACTTGCACTGTCAGGTTCTCAACCTGGCCAGTGAGGACTCTTACCTTTGCATGTACATGGAAAAACAAATAAATTCATCAGTGTATCAAAGTACTTATAACAAAACGAGTATGCAATGTCTAACCTCGAGTGTGTGAATCTTCTCATTCAGAATCGCCACCCCTTGGATACCATGCTCAGCCTCTTCCACACGCTTACTCAGGGATTCCATCTTCTCCATGTCACCGACCTGGACAGTCAGGTTATGAACGTGCCCAGTCAGAATCCCAACCTGTGTCTGGACAATGAAAGCGTGTTTTGTTTAGTGAGCTCATTCACCATTTAACTAAAGATTACCGAGTAAGAGTAAGTAGCCACTAACCTCCAATGTCTCAATGAGATTATTCTGTAAGGGGACCTTCTTGATCACCTCCTCAGCCTGCTCCACACGCATAGTTATGTGTTCAAGCTGCTCCTGTACACCTATCACCCAAGGCTGACGATAATGGAACCCGTCAGCCTTGTCAAGAACAATGACATATATTAGCAAAAACAATCTTAAACATCTACTATATCTATTTGCGAGTATGGTAAGTACCTCGAAGTTCTTGCAAGTGAAGAACCGCTTCCCAGGCTGAGTGTCGTACTCATCCTTCACACGAAGCTCGTTGATGATACGACCACCACACAGACAAGTAGTCGGAATCCCAAATTC